ATATGTATATGGAAAATGGTGCATTGGCCAGGTCGGTCAGTATGGGAACTTAGAGTGCAAATGCCAGGGAGAACGGAAGCGCTCAGATCTCGAATAGTACACGGAATCTAGTGGTCTCACTCAAATATAAGGTAGAAAATATATTCATCAAGTCAACGTAAGGGTTTGAAAGGTAACTAACGCACATGTGTAGAGAAAATGGTGCGTCGGCCAGTCTGGCTGGCATTTCGCACTCATAGTGCAAGTAGGGCCAAGGAGAACGGAAACACTCATTACTAAAAAATTAAAGGGAATCTAGCGGTCTCACTCGATCAGAAGGTGGGAAATATATTAATCTAGTGAGCTAATAAGGTTCGGAAGGAATCTAATGCATATGTATATGGAAAGTGGTGCATTGGCCAGGTCGGTCAGTATGGGAACTTAGAGTGCAAATGCCAGGGAGAACAGAACCGCTCAGATCTCGCATAATACACGGAATCTAGTGATCTCACTCAAATAGAAGGTAGGAAATAAATTCATCTAGTGAACGTAAGGGTTTGAAAGGTAACTAACGCACATGTGTAGAGAAAATGGTGCATCGGCCAGTCTGGCCGGCATTTCGCACTCATAGTGCAGGTGGGGCCAGGGAGAACGGAAACGCTCATTTCTCAAAAAGTAAAGGGGATCTAGCGGTCTCACTCGGTCAGAAGGTGGGAAATATATAAATCTAGTGAGCTAATAAGGTTCCGAAGGAATCTAATGCATATGTATATGGAAAGTGGTGCATTGGCCAGGTCGGTCAGTATGGGAACTTAGAGTGCAAATGCCTGCGAGAACGAAACCGCTCAGATCTCGCATAATACACGGAATCTAGTGGTCTCACTCAAATATAAGGGAGGAAATATATTCATCTAGTGAACGTAAGGGTTTGAAAGGTAACTAACGCACATGTGTAGAGAAAATTGTGCATCGGCCAGTCTGGCCGGCATTTCGCACTTATGGTGCAACTAGGGCCAAGAAGAATGGAAACGCTCATTTCTCAAAAAGTAGAGGGGATCTAGCGGTCTCACTCGATCTGAAGGTGGGAAATATATAAATCTAGTGAGCTAATAAGGTTCGAAAGGAATCTAATGCATATGTACATGGAAAATGGTGCATTGGCGACGTCGGTCAGTATGGGAACTTAGAGTGCAAATGCCAGGGAGAACGGAAGCGCTCAGATCTCGCATAGTACACAGAATCTAGTGGTCTTACTCAAAAAGAAGGTAGGAAATAATCTCATCTAGTGAACGTAAGGGTTTGAAAGGTAACTAACGCACATGTGTAGAGAAAATGGTGCATCGGCCAGTCTGGCCGGCATTTCGCACTTATAGTGCAAGTAGGGCCAAAGAGAACGGAAACGTTCATTTCTCAAAAAGTAAAGGGAATCTAACGGTCTCACTCGATCAGAAGGTGGGAAATATATAAATCTAGTGAGCTAATAAGGTTTGGAAGGAATCTAATGCATATGTATATGGAAAATGCTGCACTGGCTAGGTCGGTCAATATCGGAACTTAGAGCGCAGATGCCAGGGAGAACGGAAGCGCTCAGATCTCGCATAGTACACGGAATCTAGTGGTCTCACTCAAATTTAAGGTAGAAAATATATTCATCTAGTGAACGTAAGGGTTTGAAAGGTAACTAACGCACATGTGTAGAGAAAATGGTGCATCAGCCAGTCTGGCCGGCATTTCGCACTTATAGTGCAAGTAGGGCCAAGGAGGACGGAAACGCTCATTTCTCAAAAAGTAAAGGGAATCTAGCGGTCTCACTCGATCAGAAGGTGGGAAATATATAAATCTAGTGAGCTAATAAGGTTTGGAAGGAATCTAAGGCATATGTGTATGGAAAGTGGTGCATTGGCCAGGTCGGTCAGTATGGGAACTTGGAGTCCAAATGCCTGGGAGAATGGAAGCGCTCAGATCTCGCATAGTACACGGAATCTAGTGGTCTCACTCAAATATAAGGTAGGAAATAAATTCATCTAGTGAACGTACGGGTTTGAAAGGTAACTAACGCACATGTGTAGAGAATATGGTGCATCGGCCAGTCTGGCCGGCATTTCGCACTTATGGTGCAACTAGGGCCAAGGAGAACGGAAACGCTGATTTCTCAAAAAGTAAAGGGAATCTAGCGGTCTCACTCGATCAGAAGGTGGGAAATATATAAATCTAGTGAGCTAATAAGGTTTGAAAGGAATCTAATGCATATGTATATGGAAAATGGTGCATTAGCTAGGTCGGTCAGTATGGGAACTTAGAGCGCAAATGCCAGGGAGAACGGAAGCGATCAGATCTCGCATAGTACACGGAATCTAGTGGTCTCACTCAAATATAAGGTAGAAAATATATTCATCTAGTGAACGTAAGGGTTTGAAAGGTAACTAACGCACATGTGTAGAGAAAATGGTGCATCGGCCAGTCTGGCCGGCATTTCGCACTTATAGTGCATGTAGGGCCAAGGAGAACGGAAACGCTCATTTCTCAAAATGTAAAGGGAATCTAGCGGTCTCACTCGATCCGAAGGTGGGAAATATATAAATCTAGTGAGCTAATAAGGTTCGGAAGGAATCTAATGCATATGTATATGGAAAGTGGTACATTGGCCAGGTCGGTCAGTATGGGAACTTAGAGTGCATATGCCTGGGAGAACGGAACCGCTTAGATCTCGCATATTACACGGAATCTAGTGGTCTCACTCAAATATAAGGTAGGAAATATATTCATCTAGTGAACGTAAGGGTTTGAAAGGTAACTAACGCACATGTGTAGAGAAAATGGTGCATCGGCCAGTCTGGCCGGCATTTCTCACTCATAGTGCAGGTGGGGCCAGGGAGAACGAAAACGCTCGTTTCTCAAAAAGTAGAGGGAATCTAACGGTCTCACTCGATCACAAGGTGGGAAATATATAAATCTAGTCAGCTAATAAGGTTCGAAAGGAATCTAATGCATATGTATATGGAAAATGGTGCATTGGCCAGGTCGGTAAGTATGGGAACTTAGAGTGCAAATGCCAGGGAGAACGGAAGCGCTCAGATCTCGCATAGTACATGGAATCAAGTGGTCTCACTCAAATAGAAAGTAGCAAATATATTCATCTAGTGAACGTAAGGGTTTGAAAGGTAACTAACGCACATGTGTAGAGAAAATTGTGCATCGGCCAGTCTGGCCGGCATTTCGCACTTATAGTGCAACTAGGGCGAAGGAGAACGGAAACGCTCATTTCTCAAAAAGTAGAGGGAATCTAGCGGTCTTACTCGATCAAAAGGTGGGAAATATATAAATCTAGTGAGCTAATAAGGTTCGAAAGGAATCTAATGCATATGTATATGGAAAATGGTGCATTGGCCAGGTCGGTCAGTATGGGAACTTAGAGTGCAAATGCCAGGGAGAACGGAAGCGCTCAGATCTCGCATAGTACACGGAATCTAGTGGTCTCACTCAAATAGAAGGTAGGAAATAAATTCATCTAGTGAACGTAACGGTTTGAAAGGTAACTAACGCACATGTGTAGAGAAAATTGTGCATCGGCCAGTCTGGCCGGCATTTCGCACTTAAAGTGCAAGTAGGGCCAAGGAGAACGGAAACGCTCATTTCTAAAAACGTAAAGGGAATCTAGCGGTCTCACTCGATCAGAAGGTGGGAAATATATAAATCTAGTGAGCTAATGAGGTTTGGAAGGAATCTAATGCATATGTATATGGAAAGTGGTGCATTGGCCAGGTCGGTCAGTATGGGAACTTAGAGTGCAAATGCCTAGGAGAACGGAACCGCTCAGATCTCGCTTAATACACGGAATCTAGTGGTCTCACTCAAATATAAGGTAGGAAATATATTCATCTAGTGAACGTAAGGGTTTGAAAGGTAACTAACGCACATGTGTAGAGAAAATGGTGCATCGGCCAGTCTGGCCGGCATTTCGCACTCATAGTGCAGGTGGGGCCTGGGAGAACGGAAACGCTCGTTTCTCAAAAAGTAGAGGGAATCTAACAGTCTCACTCGATCAGAAGGTGGCAAATATATAAATCTAGTCAGCTAAAAAGGTTTGAAATGTATTTAACGCACATGTATAGAGAAAATGGTGCATTGGCCAGGTCGGTCAGAATCGGAACTTAAAATGCAAATGCCAGGGAGAACGGAAGCGCTCAGATCTCGCATAGTACACTAAATCAAGTGGTCTCACTCAAATAGAAAGTAGGAAATATATTCATCTAGTGAACGTAACGGTTTGAAAGGTAACTAACGCACATGTGTAGAGAAAATTGTGCATCGGCCAGTCTGGCCGGCATTTCGCACTTATGATGCAACTAGGGCCAAGGAGAATGGAAACGCTCATTTCTCAAAAAGTAGAGGGAATCTAGCGGTCTCACTCGATGAAAAGGTGGGAAATATATAAATCTAGTGAGCTAATAAGGTTCGAAAGGAATCTAATGTCAGAATAAGCGAACAGGAATGTGTGAACTAGAAGTGAAATGAGTACAAGTAGTAAACCCTAGAATTGTGTACCCCCTATAGGCTAACCCACTGTAGCCTACACAAGCATAACATATATAATGTTTGACACACCCCCATAGGCAAAGTGGGGGAGAACAAGGGGTCACAAGACCAGTCAAGCAAAGCAAAGCAAGCTCAGGGTGGATCACAAAGTCACCACACAGTCCGAGCACAAGAGCAGGGCCAGAGGCCAGTTCACATGCAGGAGTACAGACATATATATAAAACTAGACAAGCAAGAGCAGGTATATATATATGTCACAGTACAAGTAAAGTCAAGAGGAGAGCAAGTGAGGCAAGACAGACACAAGACCCAGCTGGGTGCAAAAGCGCTGATGGTCACAAGGCGCGAGTGCCTTGGTGAACACATCAGCATTGTTGGCCTCAGAGGCCACGTACGCAAGTCGCAACTGACCACGCTGCTGCAGCTCACGAGCAAGGAAGTAGCGGAGAGCAATGTGCTTCGTTCTGTGCTCCAAGCGCTGTTCTCAACACAAGGCCAGCATGGCCTTGTTGTCTACGTACAGCACTGGAGGAGAACGAGGCGGCTCTCCAAGTTCAGTCAGCAGGTAGGTGAGCCAGCGAAGCTCCTGTGCAGCCATGGCCCCGGCGTAGATCTCAGCCTCACAACTGGAGCCGAGAACCGAAGACGAGCGAGTAGACCGCCACGAGACAGAGCCGGAACCAAGGCTGAAGGTGTAACCCTGTGACGACTGCTGCGTAGCCTGGTCGTCAGCCCAAGAAGCGTCCGCGTGGCCGGTAAGGACCACTGGACTCCGCCCTCCAAGCACAAGCCCCATGCCTGACGTACTGCACAGGTAGCGCAATACCCTCTTCGCTGCAGCCATGTGCTCTGGTCTGTGTCTCCAAGGAGCAACATAGCGTGCAAGAATGCTCAGAGGGTATGCAAGGTCAGGTCGTGTGCAGGTCATCAGGTACATGAGGCAGCCAACAAGCTCTGCATACGGACCACTCGACTCTATGGACTCATCCGAAGGCAGAGCTGAGAGTGAGTGGCGAGTAGGCAGAGGAGTGGCCTGAGGCGAGGAGTACGTGAAGCCGAAGCGCTGAAGGACCTGCTGCACCATGTGTGACTGAGTCAAGGTAATGGTGCGGCGTGCTCTGTCCCGAGTGATCTGCAAGCCAAGGTAGCTGCGCAGTTCACCCAGGTCTGTGCACGTGTGTCTCTTCAGCAGTTCGGACTTCACGTAGGCGAGTCCAGCAGTGTCCGCTGTGGCAAAGACCAAGTCGTCAACGTACACGAGGATGTAGAACGGCGGTAGTGAAGTGTCGGTGCGCAGAAACAGCGACGGGTCAGCAGTAGAAGGAGCAAACCCAAGAGCCGCAAGCGTAGTCCTCAGTGTGTCGTGCCACTCACGCGGTGCCTGGCGGAGACCGTAGACTGGCCGTCGGAGGCTCCACTGGGTGCCAGGAGGGAAAGTCCCAGTGAAGCCAGGTGGACGGCGCAGCCAGATCTCCTCGTGCAGGCTACCCTGCAGGAATGCAGTGCTGAAGTCGAGAGAGTGAAGCTCGTAGTCGCGCTGAGCGGCTATGTTTAGCAGCACCCGAAGAGTGGTCATCTTCGGGGTGGGAGAGAAGGTCTGAAAGTAGTCAACTCCCTGCCGCTGACTGAAGCCACGAGCAACGTACCGCGCCTTGAAGACAGATGGAGAGCCCGGCGGCCGCTTCACCCTGAAGATCCACATGCCACTGACGATGTTCGCCCCAGGAGGGGGAACCGCGTCAACGTAGGTGCCTGTGGACTTCCAGGAAGCCATCTCTGCATCCATAGCTGCCTGCCACTGAGAGGAGTAGGGACCCTCTACGGCCTCCGCGTAAGAACGCGGAGTCGGGATGTCTAGTGCATCCGGGTCTCCCTCAGGGGCAAGCAGAATCGACGCGAGATGAGGTGAAGCAGCCGCTAGACACTGTAACTCCTCCTGTCTGTCCTCTAGGACGTCCGTGCCAAGAGCACACTCACCCCCGACGGACAGAGGACAGACAGACGCAGACTCAGCAACAAGACTGGCAACGTAGTCGAGACGACAGCGAGCAGCAAAGTCAACGAGCTCAGCGACTAGAGCAGACGCAGCAGTGGACTCAAAAGAGGGGTCAGTGACGATAGTAGCAAGCAGACGCGTGACAGTAGGACTGGCAGCGCGAAGAGAGTCCGACTCAGGGTCGGCAAGCGCAGGAAGAGAGGACTCAGGAGGAGAAGGCAAAGAGGCACGCAGAGGAGCAGTGGACGGACGCAGAGACATCCGGTGCGTGCCAGGGACAGGAGGAGGACGCTGACGCGAACCGCGACCACTAGCGCGAGCAGCACGAACAGGCGACGCGGGACGAGACGCAGGCCCACGACGCTCAGCAAGACCTCCAGTAGGACCAGTGTAAGGAGAGGGAGCAGGCAGAGGAGAGGAAGGCTCCAACAGTGACTGCGACTGGACAGGCTGTGGACACTCTACCGAAGGAGAAAGACCAAGAACCTGCTGTAGGAGCAGAACGAAGTACGGCCGAGGCCGCGCGGCAGCTCCTGACTCAGCAGGGACAGCACCAGCACCCTCAGCGACAGCACCAGCGCCACCAACACCTCCAGCGGCAGGACCTCCAGCAGCACCAGCAGCAGAACCACCGCCAGGACAGACAGCAGTAGTCTCAGCACCAACACCCTCAGCAGCTCCAGCTCCCGTAGGACCCGCAGGCCCAGCAGCTCCGGGACCGGCAGCACCAGCACCCTCGACGGTCGACGAAGCTCTAGCTCCAGCAACACTCCTCCAGCGGCGAGCAAACCACTCACGCAGCTCCTATGGAGAGAGGGGCTCCCGGCGAGACGCAGCAGCAGGAGAAACCCCAGGCTCAGCAGCTCCAGACTCAGCACCCACAGGCATAGCCGCTCCAGACTCAGCACCTCCAGGCTCAGCAGCTCCAGACTCAGCACCCCCAGACTCAGTAGCTCCAGCTCCAGTAGGACCCGCAGGCCCAGCAGCTCCGGGACCGGCAGCACCCTCAGCAGGCGAAGAAGCTCCAGCTCCAGCAGCACGCCTCCAGCGGCGAGCAAACCACTCGCGCAGCTCCAGTGGAGAGAGCGGCTCCCGCCGAGACGGAAGAACCGGAGAGCCCCCAGGTCCAGCAGGCGCAGGCTCCGCACCTCCAGGCCCAGCACCCCTAGGCTCAGCAGCTCCTGACGTAGCACCCTCCGGCTCAGCACCCCCCGGCTCAGCACCCCAAGACTCAGCACCCCCCGGCCTTGCACCCCCAGGCTCAGCACCCCCAGGCTCAGCACCCCCAGCAGCAGCACCCCCAGGCTCAGCACCCGCAGCAGGACCAGACTCAGCAGCAACCTCGACTGGCTCGACCGTGTCTATCTGGGACACACCTGAAGGGGCAGGAACCTGAGGGGGGAGGGGGTCTACCGGGGGGGGAACTGGTACCAGGAAGTCCGGTGGGGGGGGAAGGGAAGGAGTACGGTAGGGGAAGAGGCGGTAGAAGGGGACTGACTCGTCGAACGTGACGTCCTGGGAGGACAGAACACGACGAGAGGAGAAGTGGTAGAACTGCCACCCTGGAGCGTCAGGGGGGAAGCCAAGGAAGACACAGGGAGCAGCACGGGGGGACAGCTTGTCCGCAGACAAGTCGCGGACAAACGCCCGAGATCCCCAGACACGGAACGCAGACGCATCGCCGACCTTCCCCGTCCACAGTAACACTGGGGACATCGCGGGCCGAGAGACCCTGGGGTGAAGGTTGAGCTGATGCGCCGCGTACCGAACCGCAAACGGCCACAGAAAATGGGGGGCAGCCGCATGCATCATGGACGTACGAGCGACATCCATGACCATGCCGATGCGGCGCTCAGCAATCCCATTTTGCTGTGGAGAGTCCGGAAGCGTAAAGGTCTGGCGGATCCCCTGTGCACGACAGTAGTCTCGCAGAAGGCGAGAGGAGAACTCCCCACCTCGGTCAGAGTGCAGACGCAGAACAGGAAAGTCCGAGCCGAAGCTCCTCTTGAGCTGGAGACGAGCCTCGCGGATCCAGTCGATCAGCACCTCAGTGACAGCACCCTTGCTGCGCAAGGGGAAGACTGAGGTGTAACGCGAGTAGTCGTCAACCACCAACAGGAAGTAGCGCTCGTGACCTTGCCCACGGACGGGGGCCGGGCCCCACACGTCCATGTGAAGCGTCTGCAGAGGAGCCTGTTGGGGGAAACTGGGAGGAGTGAGGAGCAGCCCTGAGGCGCCCCTCGACACAGGGGACACAGGAAGGTCCTGGTCCCGAAGGAAGGGGAGGGAGAGACTGGGGAAGACCAGAGACAAGGACACGGGAAGCCATGCCTCGAAGACGGGGCAAGGAGGGGTGGCCTAGACGGTGGTGCCACAGAAGAGTCTCGTGAGACAGGAGGCGACACGAACAGGGGGCAGACTCAGGACCAGACCTGGACGCAGCACCAAACACCTGACCCGACGCTGCTACCTGACCGGACGCGGGGATAGGAGGAGACTCAGTGGTCAGGGTGTAGAGGCTCGACCCCGGCCGACGCGAGAACGTGGCCAGGTGCCGGCCTGTGCGTGCGTCCGTGCAGTGGGTCACCCGCTGACTCGCAGGAGTGAACTGGTGAACCCCCGCATCCTGTAGGTCTGCACCACTCACCAAGTTCGTCGAGAACGAGGGGAGGTACAGGCCAGAGAGGGTGCCCGAGGGGGCAGCCGGACACGGGAGGACAGTGGAGAAGTGAGCGAGGACAGGACCCCCAGAGGGGTCAGCCAGGGAGACAGCAACCGGCCGACCAAGCGGCGTGAGTGTGGTGCGGTCCCGAAAGAAGGAGCGAGAAGCCCCAGAGTCAAGTGTAAAGGTGAGGGAGGCCGAAGCCAACGCGGTACCTGAGTGCGCAGCCTCACCCGCACCTGAGGAAGCAGACTCACTAGCACCTAGAGCAGCAGCCGCACCTGTACCTGGAGCAGGAGACTCACTAGCACCCAGAGCAGCGGCCTCACCAGTAGCTAGAGCAGCAGGTCCTATACCTGGGTCAGGCGGGACGCACAGGTGACCGGCACGGTCAGCACTAGTAGGCAATGCATACATGGCAGTGAGAATAGCATCATAGTCAAGAGCATATATATCTACCCTCTGCCTAAGCAACTCCACCTAGTCGGGAAGCTCAGCCTCGTCGCCAAACACGGTACGCCAGGCGTCGCTCAGACGGGCGAAGCAGCGGGACGGTGTATGACTACGTGTCCCACAAGGCTGACCAGTCCGAGTACCAGTGCGAATCACGTAAGAGCAGCGAACAGCACTGAGAGACCCTCCACTCTGAGCGTACCACTCACGAAGCTGGCGAGGCGTGAGAGACACGCGAGAGGGTCGCGGGAGCTGCATCTGGCCGCCACCACAAGTAGAAGCAGCAGGAGTGGTAGTAGGAGTAGCGTCGCCACCCCTACAGCCCCAACCAGCGTACCACTCACGCAGCTGCTGGGGCGTGAGGGACTCACGCCGGCGTCGCTGGGGCTGCATTTGGCTCCGCAAGTAGAAGCAGGAGCAGGACTAGCAGCAGGGAGGCAGGCAGCCAGGCAAGCCAAAAGGCAGGCAGGCAGGCAAGCAGGCGACGCGCAGCGTGCTAGCAGGGCAAGAGCTCACCAGTGGTGGGAAGAGTAGGCTCGGCGACTCAGCGGCTCAGCAGCTCGGCGGCTCGGCGGCTCGGGCGACTCGGGCGGCTCGGCGGCAAGGCGGCTCGGCAGCAACTGCAGCTCAGCAGCTCGGTGACTCGGCGGCTCTGCGGCAGGGCGGCTCGGCAGCAACTGCAGCTCAGCAGCTCAGCGACCCGGCGGCTCGGCGGCAGGGCGGCTCGGCTGCTGGGCGGCTCGGGTGCAGGGCGGCTCGGCGGTGGGGCGGCTCGGCTGCTGCAGATGAGCGGCTCGGCTGCTGCAGTGGGAGATGAAGGAGGAGGAGAAGCAGGGGAGGCCACACACCCCTCTGCTGGCCTCTCCCGTCGCTAAGGGTGACGGGAAAAGGGGGGGTGGGTGGTGGGGGCCGGTAGGTGCAGCGGCGGGGCCAGCAGGTGCAGTTGCGGGGCCGGTAGAAGGGGACGGCAGGAGCCGTCAGGAGGGGACGGCGGGGCCGTCAGGAAGGGACGGCGAGGCCGTCACGAAGGGACGGCGGGGCCGTCAGGAGGTGACCGGGCCGCGACGGGGGCAGGCGGCGGGGCCGCGTAAGGGCCTGGGCGGGGCCGCGACAGAGCCGTTGGCGGGGCCGCGTGAAAGCCGGGGCGGGGCCGCGTAGAAGCCGGGGCGGGGCCGCGCGAGAGCAGGCGGCGGGGCCGCGAAGGAGCCGGGGCGGGGCCGCGTGAGAGCAGGCGGCGGAGCCGCGTAAGGGCCTGGGCGGGGCCGCGACAAAGCTGTCGGCGGGGCCGCGTGAAAGCCGGGGCGGGGCCGCGTAGAAGCCGGGGCGGGGCCGCGCGAGAGCAGGCGGCGGGGCCGCGAAGGAGCCGGGGCGGGGCCGCGTGAGAGCAGGCGGCAGGGCCGCGTAAGGGCCTGGGCGGGGCCGCGACAAAGCCGTCGGCGGGGCCGCGTTAAGGGCCGGCGGCGGGGCCGCGTCAGTGAAGGCGGCGGGGCCGCAGGGGAAATGGCGACCCGAGGGGTCGCTAAAAAAAGATCGCGCCTCGGGGGGCGCTTCGGTGGGCCCAAAAAAAAACCGGTCCGTAGAAGGACCCCCTCTATACCATGTCAGAATAAGCGAACAGGAATGTGTGAACTAGAAGTGAAATGAGTACAAGTAGTAAACCCTAGAATTGTGTACCCCCTATAGGCTAACCCACCGTAGCCTACACAAGCATAACATATATAATGTTTGACATCTAATGCATATGTATATGGAAAATGGTGCATTGGCCAGGTCGGTCAGTATGGGAACTTAGAGTACAAATGTCAGGGAGAACGGAAGCGCTCAGATCTCGCATAGTACACGGAATCAAGTGGTCTCACTCAAATAGAAAGTAGGAAATATATTAATCTAGTGAACGTAACGGTTTGAAAGGTAACTAACGCACATGTGTAGAGAAAATTGTGCATCGGCCAGTCTGGCCGGCATTTCGCACTTATAGTGCAACTAGGGCCAAGGAGAACGGAAACGCTCATTTCTCAAAAAGTAGAGGGAATCTAGCGGTCTCACTCGATCAGAAGGTGGGAAATATATAAATCTAGTGAGCTAATAAGGTTCGGAAGGAATCTAATGCATATGTATATGGAAAGTGGTGCATTGGCCAGGTCGGTCAGTATGGGAACTTAGAGTGCAAATGCCTGGGAGAACGGAACCGCTCAGATCTCGCATAATACACGGAATCTAGTGGTCTCACTCAAATATAAGGTAGGAAATATATTCATCTAGTGAACATAAGGGTTTGAAAGGTAACTAACGCACATGTGTAGAGAAAATGGTGCATCGGCCAGTCTGGCCGGCATTTCGCACTCATAGTGCAGGTGGGGCCAGGGAGAACGGAAACGCTCGTTTCTCAAAAAGTAGAGGGAATCTAACAGTCTCACTCGATCAGAAGGTGGGAAATATATAAATCTAGTCAGCTAAAAAGGTTTGAAATGTATTCAACGCACATGTATAGAGAAATTTGGTGCATTGGCCAGGTCGGTCAGTATCAGAACTTAAAATGCAAATGCCAGGGAGAACGGAAGCGCTCAGATCTCGCATAGTACACGGAATCAAGTGGTCTCACTCAAATAGAAAGTAGGAAATATATTCATCTAGTGAACGTAAGGGTTTGAAAGGTAACTAACGCACATGTGTAGAGAAAATGGTGCATCGGCCAGTCTGGCCGGCATTTCGCACTTATAGTGCAAGTAGGGCCAAGGAGAACGGAAACGCTCATTTCTCAAAAAGTAGAGGGAATCTAGCGGTCTCACTCGATCAGAAGGTGGGAAATATATAAATCTAGTGAGCTAATAAGGTTCGAAAGGAATCTAATGCATATGTATATGGAAAATGGTGCATTGGCCAGGTCGGTCAGTATGGGAACTTAGAGTGCAAATGTCAGGGAGAACGGAAGCGCTCAGATCTCGCATAGTACACGGAATCTACTGGTCTCACTCAAATACAAGGTAGAAAATAAATTCATCTAGTGAATGTAAGGGTTTGAAAGGTAACTAACGCACATGTGTAGAGAAAATGGTGCATCGGCCAGTCTGGCCGGCATTTCGAACTTATAGTGCAAGTAGGGCCAAGGAGAACGGAAACGCTCATTTCTCAAAAAGTAAAGGAAATCTAGCGGTCTCACTCGATTAGAAGGTGGGAAATATATAAATCTAGTGAGCTAATAAGGTTCGAAAGAAATCTAATGCATATGTATATGGAAAATGGTGCATTGGCCAGTTCGGTCAGTATGGGAACTTAGAGTACAAATGCCAGGGAGAACGGAAGCGCTCAGATCTCGCATAGTACACGGAATCTAGTGGTCTCACTCAAATAGAAGGTAGGAAATAAACTCATCTAGTGAACGTAAGGGTTTGAAAGGTAACTTACGCACATGTGTAGAGAAAATGGTGCATCGGCCAGTCTGGCCGGCATTTCGCACTTATAGTGCAAGTAGGGCCAAGGAGAACGGAAACGCTCACTTCTCAAAACGTAGAGAGAATCTAGCGGTCTCACTCAATCAGAAGGTGGGAAATATATAAATCTAGTGAGCTAATGAGGTTCGGAAGGAATCTAATGCATATGTATATGGAAAGTGGTGCATTGGCCAGGTCGGTCAGTATGGGAAGTTAGAGTGCAAATGCCTGGGAGAACGGAACCGCTCAGATCTCGCATAATACACAGAATCTAGTGGTCTCACTCAAATATAAGGTAGGAAATATATTCATCTAGTGAACGTAAGGGTTTGAAAGGTAACTAAAGCACATGTATAGGTAAAATGGTGCATTGGCCAGTCTGGCCGGCATTTCGCACGCATAGTGCAGGTGGGGCCAGGGAGAACGGAAACGCTCGTTTCTCAAAAACTAGAGGGAACTAACGGTCTCACTCGATCTGAAGGTGGGAAATATATAAATCTAGTCAGCTAAAAAGTTTTGAAATGTATTTAACGCACATGTATAGAGAAATTGGTGCATTGGCCAGGTCGGTCAGAATCGGAACTTAAAATGCAAATGCCAGGGAGAGCGGAAGCGCTCAGATGTCGCATAGTACACGGAATCAAGTGGTCTCACTCAAATACAAATTATGAAATATATTCATCTAGTGAACATAAGGGTTTGAAAGGTAACTAACGCACATGTGTAGAGAAAATTGTGCATCGGCCAGTCTGGCCGGCATTTCGCACTTATAGTGCAAATAGGGCCAAGGAGAACGGAAACGCTCATTTCTCAAAAAGTAGAGGGAATCTAGCGGTCTCACTCGATCAGAAGGTGGGAAATATATAAATCTAGTGAGCTAATCAGGTTTGAAAGGAATCTAATGCAAATGTATATGGAAAATGGTGCATTGGCCAGGTCGGTCAGTATGGGAACTTAGAGTGCAAATGCCAGGGAGAACGGAAGCGCTCAGATCTCGCATAGTACACGGAATCTAGTGGTCTCACTCAAATAGAAGGTAGGAAATAAATTCATCTAGTGAACGTAAGGGTTTGAAAGGTAACTAACGCACATGTGTAGAGAAAATTGTGCATCGGCCAGTCTGGTCGGCATTTCGCACTTATAGTGCAAGTAGGGCCAAGGAGAACGGAAACGCTCATTTCGCAAAAAGTAGAGGGAATCTAGCGGTCTCACTCGATCAGAAGGTGGGAAATATATAAATCTAGTCAGCTAATAAGGTTCGAAAGGAATCTAATGCATATGTATATGGAAAATGGTGCATTGGCCAGGTCGGTCAGTATGGGAACTTAGAGTGCAAATGCCAGGGAGATTGGAAGCGCTCAGATCTCGCATAGTACACGGAATCTAGTGGTCTCACTCAAATAGAAGGTAGGAAATAAATTCATCTAGTGAACGTAAGGGTTTGAAAGGTAACTAACGCACATGTGTAGAGAAAATGGTGCATCGGCCAGTCTGGCCGGCATTTCGCACTTATAGTGCAAGTAGGGCCAAGGAGAACGGAAACGCTCATTTCTCAAAAAGTAAAGGGAATCTAGCGGTCTCACTCGATCAAAAGGTGGAAAATATATTTATCTAGTGAGCTAATAAGGTTCGAAAGGAATCTAATGCATATATATATGGAAAATGGTGCATTGGCCAGGTCGGTCAGTATGAGAACTTAGAGTGCAAATGCCAGGGAGAACGGAAGCGCTCAGGTCTCGCATAGTACACGGAATCTAGTGGTCTCACTCAAATAGAAGGTATGAAATAAATTCATCTAGTGAACGTAAGGGTTTGAAAGGTAACTAACGCACATGTGTAGAGAAAATGGTGCATCGGCCAGTCTGGCCGGCATTTCGCACTTATAGTGCAAGTAGGGCCAGGGAGAACGGAAACGCTCATTTCTCAAACAGTAAAGGGAATCTAGCGGTCTCACTCGATCAG